GATGGACGCTGTTGAGGCTTTTCTGAAGGGTCAAGATAAAGATTTTTTTCTAACGGAATTACGGAATTCTGGATTTAGAAAAAAGATGTAAAAAAATATTTTTTTTAACTTGGTATAGTCACCGTATTTAATATTCATTATCATTACTTTTTGATCACTCCTCATACCAGCGTAAATAGCAGATTAATGCTGCTGTGTTACTTAAGCACAGAACACTATTACTCCTAGCGGAGATACTTAAGGGTACACTAGTCGCTTATTCTTCCATACAAACGTAGTCCGGCGATTACTCCACTGTTTGATGGTGTACGTTCAAAATAAAAAATAGTTTCAATTTGTCTCATCATTATCTAGCCCTGTATGGAAACAAAAAAGTAAAAAAGAGTATGTTTAAAAGTTATAAGCGTCGAAAATTCCGAATTTCAACACTAGTTTTAACACATCTTTGGGCGGAAATAAATACCATAAGAACGAAAATTGCAAAACAGTTGCCATACGGGGATAGATTAGTTGTTCAAAAATTCAAATAATTTTATTTTAAACAGATACTTTCAATAGATTTTTCATGACATCCAGACTACCAAAGGTCTGTTTATAAAATTTCGCGCGCCCGTTTTTGTTATAAAACATCTTGCCTTTCGCTACAAATTGTTTTTTCCTCGATCAGTGGGACGGACGGAGAGGAGGGGGGGGGGGCGCAGCGCGCACCCACACATACTCACTAGGTTAGCGCTGCTATCTATTTATGGTTGTAATACCTACATATCTACATCTTTATTTAGAAAAATTGCTTCCTTTTGTTCGTGTCCATTGCTGAAGCCGGGATGAATATAGCTGCTAAAATGTGCCCATAAGTTTGTTGAAGCACATTTAGTTAAAATTGAAAACAGGTAGGTACATAATAATGAACTTTCGATACAGGTAGTACATTAGGTACTTAACTACTTTAATTTGCTAACTAACAAAACATCTCATAGATAAGCACGATTATCGAAAATCTTAAAATTATCTATTAATTTAATTAGAATAGGTAATTTTTAAATTTTCGATAATCGTGCTTACGTATAGGAATCTCATATCCTAATATACCTAATGTAATTTATGTAAGTACCTAATAATCTAAGAAGGGCAGTCAATGATAAATAAAATATGTTTTGTAAGTTGTTTTTTTTCAAAAAACACTTTAACACAACAAAAACATGAAACTGAGAAGAAGCACCCGATCTGCCGAAACAAACTCAGAGAGGTCAGTCTAGGTACCTATTACATTGGTCATGTCATACGAGAATCAGGCTAATATGGTCCTTTGCAGAAAGAATCATAGAGATGTGAGTGGACAATTTAGTACTTTTTAGGATTCCGTACCCGAAGGGTAACCAGCAGGGCCCTATTACGGAGCCTCCGCTGTCCGTGTGTCTGTCTGTCAGCGAGCTGCATCTCATGATCCATAATAGGTAGATGGTTGTAATTTTCACAGAACGTGTATTTCTGTTGCCGCTATAACATGGTATAATATGAAATTAAAGGATTTTATACTAGACAAAGAAACGTGTATTTTTGGCTTTTTTTGATCGATAGTAATATGTATAGGTATTTAAATCTTGTAATCTCGGAAGCTCGGAAGTCCGATTCGCACTTGGCAAAATATTTCTTTATATTTAACCTTACCTCAGACATACTCACATTTTTATATATAATTTACTATACTACTATATAAGCTACTACTAAATAAAATAGTAGTAGCTTTGCTATGGTATTATAGTATATTTTGGATTAGATTTAATTTATTACAGAATAATACGAACTATATAAAAACTAAGGAGCGCATCAACCTACCTTAGATATTGGGTTATGAATACAGATAAGTACACATAGGATTTAGTTTCTAAGTTGTACCTACATATTTTATAGCCTTCGTTATGAATAGCATAAACAGGCCAAGCCCCCTAGCCTACAAACGTTTCGTAACGAATCTCTTTCTACAATCGCGCCTTTTATTTGTTTGGACTGACCACCTGACTCGTTCAGTGATGCCATTCCCATACAGTGTTTAGTTGTCAACTAGCGTTATCTATCATAAAATAAATCAAAATTTTATTCATATTTCGCTAATTGTGTCTGTACTGTGAATTTGATTTACAATCGATCTCTAAATTGTAGTTTTCTTCTAATTACTTACCTTGCCTAGACGTGTTCTTTGGACTTCTTTAAGGAAGTCTGTGCTGTTAGTATTCCGTTTATATACGTTACACGACACATTGCCTATTGTTGATAACTTTCTAAGTACTAAAAGAATATTTCAAACCGCTATTGAACACAAACAATCAATAAACAATTTACAAACTAACATTTTTTATTTATTTAATTAACCTATATAAAAGCCCATTCACATCAAAATCGCGCTGTCGAAAAAGCAGTTATCCTGACACTAGCTGACATATACTTCTGGGAGTTGCCTGTGGGCTATTATAGCTAACTAGCTATGGAAAGTAAATACCTATTTAGAATACATAGTACCTACAGTAATATTTGCATAACCTACAGTAAAATGCAAAAACATAATGAAAACATGATTATGTTACACTTTTTTGTGTTTGTTTTAGAAATTGTTGATATTTTTTTCAAAGAAAGTTTTTTATGTTACCGTTTTTAGTTGAGAGTTATGTCCCTTTAGTGGGTACAGGCGTGATATTATGTTGTGCGTTGCGTAAAGAATGCTTAGATAGGCGATAGCAGCAATCGCGGTTGATTTGCTGTCATTTATTGAAGAGTGCCCCCGATTTCTCCAAGATCATCATCCGATCCTGATCTGACCATCATCGATTATCGTGGGATTATCTGGAAAATATATTCTTTCAAACAAAAAAATAATTTTCCAAATCGGTTCAGGCATCTTCGAGAAATCGGGGGACAGAACATACATAAACAAAAACCAACGAAAGAAGTCAGTTAAAACAAATCAATGGAATTATTATATAATAACAACATCTACTTAAGTTCACACAAGAACTTTCATAATAACAACTAAGTACATAAATTGGGTTCATAATAATTACGTTTCACACAGCAGATCTTAAGTTATAATAACACCAATTTGTTTTCTCTCTCCTTTCTCTTTTTAAAATACGTTATCCCCACAGTAGGATTTTCTCCAGTATCGTGGAGGCAGTTTACAAACATAAATTGCACAAGGACAAACATCTAGACCCGGAACAACTATTTGTAGGCCATACAAATATTTGTTCCGTGCGGGATTTGAACCCGCGGCGCCCAGCGCACTTACTAAGCCACTGCGATACGGATTCAAATTGCCGTTTGAGTTTATGTTATTATTCAAAAATGAAGCGCATAGGTAGGTACGCGATGACGCCGTCTCGCATTGCGTCACTCGAGTGCGTATGTGTGTGCGCACTAGCTTCTTACTGCTCATCACAGTGTCTATCCCTTTCGCATGTGATGTCGGCTGAGATAGCATGCATTTTTACCCCGCCCACCACTTAGTTCGTGCCATCGACTAGGGCAACCTTAAGGTGAATATAGAGAATCGGAGACCCTTTTTACTAGAAACGAGGCATTCCATCTTAGTTCTCAGGCACAGGTAGGCATCTGCATTTCAATCTTAATCGAAGATAGTTGTAGATGTCTATAGCCCACAGCATCCACTTGCCATCAGTTGGACTGCGTGCTAGTTTGTCACACAATTCTATACACACAATAATAAATAATGGGAAGATTACACATCGTCAATTAATTACTCAGTAGTACGACTTCTTTTCTGCCTAGGTCACTCCCTTGCCCTACCTGGAACCAAGCAGTGCCTGTACTGCAGTCCTGCTTTAAAGGGTATAATAATAATAATAATGTCCTCCTGACCGAATTTTGGTCACGGCGGCCTGCCTCAACGGAGACTAGCCATCGGCACAGGACAGGATTATAGTGCCCAAGTGTATGCGCAAGCACAGGTGAACTCTCTATTCCTTCACTCTCATAATCCGATGGGACGGTAAACCGATACGACCGGAGAGAGATCAGGCGCAGGACCAACGGCTTTACGTGCTTTCCAAGGCACGGAGTGAAACATCGCCAACTTCCTAACTCCGAGCAGCTACTGAGAATTTCTTGACGGAAAAATGAATAATTGATTTTTAGGCCCGACCTGGGATTCGAACCCAGGACCTCATGAGCAGCAATCGCACTAGTACAACCACTAGGCCAACGAGGCAGTTAAAAGGGTATAGAGATTACATCTTGCTCCTCAGAGATGACAATGCATTTGTAGCCTTTTTATTTAAATTCGGTTACAGGTGTTCATAGACTACAGTAGTAATTTACCATCAGGTAGACTGCAAGTCCGTTAGCTATTAAATTTTATACAAAAAAAAAACTAATTACAATGCAATTTTGTTCTATAATTAGAGAATTCAAGACGTAGCGCATTAAAACTAATAAAGTATGTATAGACACTACCCATTACGTAATTTTCTATCTCTGGTGTGTAGAGAAATCTGTAAGACCGCATTGAGATTGCAAACTCAGGTACTTTGATATAGTATTCGATTCAGTTTTTGATTCAAACTAACCTAACGTTGTTTTAAAGGATTTTAAAAGATTTGTCTTTCTCTCGAACCAATTCGAATCGAGAAACATGATCGAGTAAAGATGAAGTGTTATCAGCGTCGTTCAGCATACCGATGTTTTTTTTCCAGTTATCATTTTATTTAATTCAGAATTCACTTCTTTAAAGGATATTAAATTATTTTATAAATAGGATAAACGTATCAAAAAAATCTTTTAGCTTGCAATTACGAGATTGCGGACGCCATTTAGCGATGGACAGCTAAAGGCTTCCGTTCTGATAATTTCAAGAACTCGGATATAGGCCGGCTGATGACGGCTCTGAGCTGCTCCTTTACTTCAACAACTAGAATATCAAAGTGTCAGAAACAAATTAAGAAAAAACATTCAATCTTTATATCAATTTGCTCATTTATTTAAAAACGTTAGAAGTTTAAATCTTCTGTTGTAGCGTCTTGCTTATCAGGAGTCATTTGACTGTTATCACTTGCATGGGCTGTCTGCGATTGAGGAGTGACATCTAATGTTTCGTCCTCTTCGTCCTCTCCATTTACTTCCATTTCAAATACTCTAACTTTTCTGTAAGTCTTTGATAAAACCACGGCAACCTTACGGCCACCAGATACACCTATTCTAAAACCATCCATTTTTTCCAGTACTTTATAGACACTATGATCTAATAAGATCGAAATATTTTTTCTTGTTGTTTTGTTATTGAAAACACCAGCTTTAGACTTTACGTTCAAATCATTTGCATTTTCTAAGGCAATTTTTAATGGTAGCTGAATGAAAATTGTGTTGTCTTCATTATGAGGATGTTTTATAAGTACAGAAAGATATTCAGCTGAATAAAACTGTGCATCCATTATTTCAACTGCATCATCTAAAAGGCTATGACTTCCTTCTTGTAATAAACTTGATGAAAAATAATATTTCACAGCTACTGCTGTACACATCTTTTCTTTTAGTTGAATAGACATAAAGCATATTCCATCACCAACTTTATTTGTATCTATTAGTGACATCAAAAACCTTTCTTGAGATGGATCATAAATCTGTGAAATTCTTAAATTATTTCTTAAGTTCACTTTTTGTTCTCTTTCTTCATAGCATTTAATGTTATAAATTACAGAAAAATACTTGTTGATATTTCTACCAGTGACATCAAATACTTGATTTATTGCATTTTTCAAGTATTTCTGTTGCTGAACCAAAGAAAATTTTCTGAATTCAGTCATTGAAAATATTGTTTCACTATCATTAACCAAGCATGCATTATCCTTTAAAAATTTATGCCATGGATTATCTTCATCATCAGGAAGTATTGTCAGTTCTTGATCTTGTAAGTATTGACCTAGCCTTTCGAGATTAAATTTAACTGGCTTTTCTGTTGCACTATCACTATTCTCAGTTTGAACATTGTCAAAATTATACAGAAATTCAGCTATATGAGTAAGTTCTTGTTGTGTCATTTTAACAATTTCACTAGGTGTCTGTTCATCTAACAATCGTATTATAACAACAAATAGCCATCGAAAAAATGCTTTGTAATTACGCATTGATACATCAATTACTTGCTGTAGTTCCAAGCATTTGTTTAAAAATGCACAGCATGCCTTGATAGATTGAGTAACAATAGCTTCATCCAGACCTAAAATCTGAGGAAAAATAAAAAATAATGCGAGCTCATTATAAACAACAAAAAATTATACTTATTTATGTATTACGAATCGTCTCGTACGCAGACTCGATGACTTCCATCCTCCCGAACAAGGCGGTTTCCGAAAAGGCATTAGTATCATAGACCACTTAGGTATATCGTACATATACCCTGGTAAATTGAACAGAAGACCAAAGAGTGCAATCTACCACTTTGTTTGGCGTATGTGGACTATGAGAAAGCCTTTGATTCCGTCGAAATTCGGTCAGTGCTGCAGTTCTGCAGCGGTGCCAAGTTGACTGTCGGTATATCGAAGTGTTGAAGTGATTGTACAGTAGGTCTACGATGGCTATCCGAGTACAGAACCAAAGTACGAAACCTATCTAACTGCAAAGAGGTGTAAAACAGGTAAAACGTCTTCCAATGTATTTAAGACGTTTTCATAGCGACTAGATTGGAAAGGATACTGTATTAACAGCCATGGCGAGTACATACGATATCGTCGTTATGGCAAAATCGCTTAACCGCGAGCAGAAAGTTTGTCAATGACGTAAGGTGTCGATGGTTAGTACAATACTAGGTAGTAAAATAGTGGTTGGAAATTCAATAAATCAATAAAGGAAAAATAACTAAACAAAAAACGTTGTAGTTGTTACTAAGATTTAATAAGAGCGAATCTTTTTGATTTTTACTTTCGAAAAACGTTAGAACCTTTAAAATAATAACACGTTCGCCACGTAGGCTTTCCCTTTAGCCGTTTTGATAAAAAATAACACTAACATAAAACAAACAAAAACTTAACATGGACTCAATGGAAAGGCGTGCTAAGAGGCTTATTGGTGAACCAAATTTGGTTGAAACCAATCTTACCAGCCTCGAACACCGGCGCAAAGTAGCCAACGTTTCGGTCTTATATAGGATGCATTTCGGAGAGTGTACGCAGTAATTGCATAATTTAATTCCTCCCTCTCCCTTCCATCGGACAACCAGACATTCGGCCAGTCTCCACACTTTCGTTGTTGACTTACCACGCATTCGAACCAAACGGTTTGCTACGTCGTTAGTCATGCGTACTGCAAAGGAGTGGAATAAGTTGCCAGCATCTGTCTTTCCATTCGATTACAATGTGTGGGTGTGGGTGTCTTTAAGGCAAGAGTGAATAGGTTTTTGTTAGGTCAGTGCGCTTTACCATCTTAAGCTACTACACCACTTACCATCAGGTGGGATTGTAGCTAAGTGGTGGCTTATAAAAGTAAAAAAAAAAACTTGAAAACAATGAGTAATTTCGGAGCGAGAGCAATAAATTCAGACGCTGCACACCTGAGCGCATGACTGTGTTGCTGACGGTACTAATTAGGCGACCGCGGGACACGGGCGGCGGAGGCGAGAGGGGTAGACATCGGCAAATTTTCTGTGCGCGGCTAATAAGGACTACGATCAATGACCTAAATAGTCCCTCCGAACGGATATGTCTTAAGGTAAACATGGACTAAACAAAGATCACGTGTTATGTCCATGTCACACCTATGCCGGTAGTTGTTGGGAGTTCTAAGCTCGAAGTTGTTGACGAGTATGTTTACCTGGGACAAATAGTTCGACTAAGCAAATCGATCCAACTTCGACCAAGAGGTCAATAAACGGGTTCAACTTGGCTGGGCAGCACTTGGGAGAATATGACACGTCTTCTCGACAGGTGTACCTCGAAACTTGAAAATGAAATTGTATACAACTAGTATATGTTGTTAGTGATGACTTGTGATGAACTGTGTGTTTGAGATGTGGTTTTTCCTTATTGACTGTATGAGGAAGCTCAAGGTCACTCAGTGAGCTATGGAAAGGGCTATTCTTGGGGTTTCTCTGCATGATAAACTTAGAAATGATGTTATCCATAGTAGAACCAGAGTAACTTACATAGCCCAACGGATTATTAAACTGAAGTGGCAATGGACCAGCCATATAGCTTGAAGAACCGACAAGCAATGAGGAAGCAAGGTAGGCGAAATGTGAGGCAGCCCCCCACTAGACGGAATGACGACCTGGTAAGACATGCAGGAAGTCGATGGATGCAGGTGGCTTCAGACTGAGCTTTGTGCCATTCCTTGGGGGAGGCCTATGTTCAGCAGTGGACTTTCACACGTCTAGGTATTTTACCTCCACCATATGCAATATGTTTATACTGCTTACAATTTGGAATTTCCCATTGTTATCTTTAATACTCACAGGCTAAATAGTTAGATACATTTTCTTTAACTACTACCAAAGGGTATACTTATTGTTTTTATTAACTTAAAATATAGCTTAATTTATGTAATATGAAGGATTACCTTAAATCTGTCAGGTATTCGTGTAAGTCCTCTTAAGTCAGAAAGGTAGTAAGCTAAATTATGACCAACAATATTAAGCTGTTTTAAAACTAGTTTTTGGATAGTTGAGTAGCTTAATTCAACTGAACTGCCAAATTTTTTCAGTCCTTTTGCTGTCAATTCTTGAAGTAAAAATAATTCAAGTTCATCAGATGGAACACCTGAAATGCTTAATATTAGATAATTTATAGATAGGTAAAATTCCATTCAAATAATTTAATTTGTTTTTAAACATACAAACCTAGCATAAGTAACTCTAATAAATCTGCTGAAACTCCACCTTGAGGCACTGAAGATGCATAGTATGCCATTTTTGAATCCATTTCTAATAAAATATGTTCCCAAGCTTCAGTTATTGCAATCATTGTTTGGTCAAGATGTGATAAAAGTTGAACAACTTGACTATGTTTATTAGCTACTACAAACAATTCTTCAGAATATGCCGACAATACACTTGTATTAATGACTGTTAAATATACATTATTTGTGATTCCATCCAAGTAAAGAACCTGCATTGCACTAAAATCATTTGACAAATTTATATCCAGTACTTTATATTCACCATACTCATCATTAACTAGATGAGCTAAGTTGATGGTACCATATGGATATCTACCAAATACACTCATATAAATGTTGCCAGTTCCATATCCAATTATTAACATGCTCAATTGTGAAGGTTCTGGTATTTCTTTAAAACTTTTTACAGTGTCATCTGATCCCTGACTTTTATATGAAGTACTAGATGATGGTGGTTTTTGCAAAAATATTGTTGCATCATCCTGAAAAAACAAAACAAATCTAAAATTGAATAAAAAAATACTCATTTCAAGTATTTGTAGTAAAATACATACATAAACATTATACTCTGTAGCACTGTCCAACATTCCAGCCTTTACAGCCCAGGTAATGCAGGTAATGCCAACATTTTTCAAATCATGCAAGTCTTCTGCAGTACCAATGTTAAATTCATATTTGTCTAAAATTTCTTTATCTTCTATATCCACAACATAAACACTCCCAAAACTGTAACCGATGGCAAGGGCCTGTAACATTATTTTTTATGTTACTAATAATTTAATTTGCTTTAAAATATTATGCATATGGAATGAACAATTTGTGTACTTTTCCATCAGGCCGCCAAGCAATAGCTTGAACTGTTACATTTTCTTTTGGAGGAGGTAAATTCCACACCTTTTGCCAATGTAATCTATGTACCTGCACTTCCCCTGAAAAAAAAAAACTATCATATTATCTCCCTACACTCATAATTGATTAGACAAGAATGCCTTAAAACATCCTTTGTAATCCTTTTGTTAAGGTTAAAACAGTAAATCATAAATAAATAAAAACTAAGAAGTGTATTTATTACAGTTAAAGTAATAAATACACTTCTTAGTGTCGTTCTTAGAGCTGTGGTAGCTCAGATAGTTGACACTCGCTGTAAATATAACAGAACGCGAGTAACCCGGGTTCGATCCCAACCAGAACAAATGAAATTTTTAATTGCAATTTTAGGTGCTGATATACCTCGTGCTCGGCGGTGAAGGAAAACATCGTGAGGAAACCTGCATGCCAGAGGAATGAAAAAATATTTCGAAGACATGTGAAGTTCGCCATTGGGGCAGCGAGGCGGACACTTCCTTGCCCTAAAAAACCCTCTCAGAAATGAGGGGAGGCCTGTGCCCAGCAGTGGAATGTATATAGGCTGTAACTTTACTTTAAAAGTAATAAAAAATTAATTAATTCAATCATTGATTACAATCTATCAAAAGTCAACTGCTAAACACAGGTCCCCCAATCAGATTGCCTTATAGTAGGGAATATTTGTCATAGTTCCATGCTTGGCAGATGTTGTTTTTTACAAAACTGAAGTACTAACTACTACCTAACTACTAACTAGTCTACCTGATGGAAAGTGCACCTGTAACTAAGTTCTAATAAAGAAATCTAAAGATGCATTGTTATATCTGAAGACCAAGATAGAATACCTCACAGCCTATTGTATTGTATTGGCTCTCTATACCGTTCATACCGGGACACAGCAGTGCAATAACTGCTATTTTGCAGCAGAAATAAGAAAGAGTGTGGTACCTACCAAGTCGGAATCCTAGACTAAAAGGAGTTGTACCATAGAATTGATATTTCTCTGTTTCCGGAAATAGAGGTGGGTAGGGAATGTGGTGAAAGAAAAAGAAAAGATAGTGTTTTTATGTTTAGTTTAGGAATTGAACTTTGGCATCATACAATGTGGTAATATTATTTGATGTTTATATAAAAAACATTGAAGATTTAGAGTTAATTAGCTAAGACCTGCGTGAGATATAAAAGTTGAAGGGGACCTTGTTTAAAAAAGACCTCTCTTTTCCCCATAATTGCATGCACTATCAATTCCATGACTAAGCCCAAAAACACTGAGGTTCTTTCAACTAGGCAATACATTCCCTTTTTTTTTGTAATTATTGTTAACTCATTGATGAATTGCTCTCCAGTAACCCAATAATTATTACGAAATCCTATGTAGAGTCAAGTTTTATTATTCATTCTAGGTTCAGTCATTTACTCTCCACTTAAGTAAAATTGAACCAGTACACTGATTTACTATTCTGCTTCTTCTTACCTTAACAGAGAAAGAATTTATAATAAATTCATGATTTTATAAAGTATATACTAACCTTTGAAATTGCTTATTGCTAATAAATCCAATCGGTTACTCCAAACCATAAGATCGACTTGATAAGCAACATGCCTTTCTTCAACTTGCCGCATTGCGCAGTGAAACATTTTTTTGATTGAATAAATCTTAGAACAAAAGACGTTCTAAAATCTGAGTAATATATTATCAAATATATTACTAATTTTTGGAAATTGATAGTAAATAAAAATTGTGAAAAGAGATAGGCCAGTAGTAAGTAACGAAATAGTTTTCTGTTTCTCGGAGTTACAGTTCAGACCAAAAAAGGCTATTAATAAAAGGTACCGATTCAGACAAAACCCTTTAATAATCTTTAATAAAAAAGTAAGAATGTGAGACTGCACTTCTTATTTTTGTATAAAAAAGAATAGTTTAATAATATTAATTAAACACTTTTTACATATTTATTTATCTATGTTTAAATATGAATAATTATGTACTTCTTTAACTCGTAACAAAGTATATTATAGTATTATTATTATATTTTATTAGAATTGTAAATGATGAAAACTCGTAGGTGTCGTAGACAGAGAATTGAAAACTCCTATTTATTTATCTGATGAAATACTCCTATCTTCAAACGTCAAACACAAATTCAAATTTCAAATAATTTTTTTTAAATTAAGTTTTTAGCTTGGATGCTTGTCTGATGTTTAATCCATGTCTTCATTTTATATTTTCATACTTTTTTTTATAGGAGAGGGGGCAAACGAGCATACGGCTCACCTGATGGTAAGTGATTACCGCCGCCCATGAACTCTGCAACACCAGGGGAATTGCAGATGCGTTGCCGGTCTTTTAAAAAGGAGTAGGCTCTTTTCTTGAAGGTCGTTAAGTCGTATTGGTCCGGAAAAATATCCGGTGGTCGTCGTTTCCACAAGGAAGTTGTGCGAGGAAGAAAACTTCTTTTAAATCGCACGGTTGTGGACCGCCTGTTATCCAGATGGTGTGGATGGTATCGCGAGTTTTGTCGCGATGTGCGATGGTGAAATTGTGCAGCTGGAATTAGTAAGAACAATTCCGCAGAGCACACCCCGTGGTAGATGCGATAAAATACGCAAAGAGATGCAACATCTCTTCGCAAGGTCGCTCTGCGTCTGTGACCATGAAATTGCACGTCACTCGATATGTCAACGCCGAGGATTCCGATACTGGCTGAGGCAACAAGGGGAATGCCTTGAAACTGAGGAGATACGATGAAGGGGTTATTTAGTGGTTAACACGCAAACTTGTGTCTTCTGGGGATTAAATTGGACTAGATTAGTCGCCCCCAGTTCGAGACTTTGTTCAACAAAGTTTCGACTTCAGACACACGTTTGCCGCGGTACTCAGCGACGTTTTCCCGAGAAATATTGGCACCTGGCACCTGGCTAAATATATGGAAACCGTACTGGCGGTCACTAATCAGCTGGTGATCTTCAAGGTACTGCATGAGCTGGCTGTTAATAATGGATTTCATTATTTTAGAGAACAAGGAGGTGATGGCGATAGGCCTATAATTGGACAAATCAAAGCGGTTACCTCTTTAGGGATCGGGTGCACGAGGGCTGTCTTCCACGTTTTCAGGACTACGCCAAGGGAGTAGGAGTACCGGAAAAAACGCGTTAAACTGGTGCCAACTCCGGAGCACACGTCTTGAGCACAATAGGAGGGACGTCATCAGGCTCACTCGACTTGTTGACGTCCAGGGAGAGAAGTGCTCTGCGCACTGAGCGTTGGGTAAACAGGACATCCTGCATGGAGCACTCACTCCGCGGGATGGTCGGCGGTGTGTTCCCCCCGTCATCAAGAGTCGAGTTGGACGCAAAGAGAAAGACCAGCAGATCGGCTTTGTCTTTTGCGGCATGGGCCAGTGAGTCGTCCTCCCTGTGCAGACATGGCAGAGATGGCTGACAGAAGTTCCCTTGGACAGCCTTGGCGAGAGACCAGAATGCACGTGTTCCCGAAGGAAGACGAACTGGCCTCGTTTTCATAAATCAATCATAGAAAATAGGCATTTGTTTTCATACAAAACATATCAAACTCATATAAGACAATACTTATGCAATTAATTTCCATTAATTCTACTTATGCACAGCTATCATCTCGACCGGGGAACAAATCCTGGTCTCTAACTTTATTTTAATATTTCTTTAAATTAACATTATTGGAATGATGATTTCAACCGGGGAACAAATCCGGTAACATAATTTATATCTTAAAGATATTACTAAGAAAACTATAAACTATTCCGGCCTGGGAGTCGAACCCAAGACCTTCATATCATTAATTCGATATTTCTTTAAGATTCAACTAAGCATTTTCTTATCGGAATATTGTTGCTTGATAATTTGCTTTTTAGAAGCTATTCGTAATCGGTTAACTAATAAATTGAAATATTCTATATATTATATTATATATATAATCTTTTTTTCGATAATATCTTTGTTACCGTTTTTTTTAATAAAATTAAATTTAGCGACATTTGGGGACTTTTTTTGTTACTAAATTCATGTATAACTAGGGACTTTTTGACGGCAGTCTAGAAACCTACGGTCGTAGACAGAGAATGCTATATAGGATTCTCTGTCTACGCCTACGGTAATTCAATGTGGCAACACTGATCAGTCCATATATACAGTGTTGCCGTTTTAGCGACTTTCTCGCTAGATCTAGCGGATTTTAACAATGTTTAGCGGATAAAAAAATCGTTTTAGCGAGAAATAATTATTTAGCGACTTCTAGCGACATTTGGACTTTTGAGATGGCGACTTTTTTTTATGAAGTAATTCATTTCAAATAAGTAATTTATCATATGTCCAATTTTGTAATCAACCGTTGGTAGCACTCTATATATAATATAATTTCACGGGAATTACCGAACATAAACAAACAATTCAATGTCGTTAATTCACTTTCTCTGTTTCGACCTGAGACCATGTTCTAAGGTTTCGACATACAAAAATGTAGCAGGAGTAAACATATTCGAAGATTTATGTAATTTTGCAATAGTAATATTATCACTACCGCACTCAAATGCAGAATTTGAACGCGTATTTGGTGCTATGAATGTAGTTAAAAGCAAACTGTGAAACAAGCAATCAGAAAAACCTTTAAATTCCATTCGTCTTATTAGAAATCAGTTCAGGATTAAAAAAGAATTGCGCAACGTATGATATTCCCGAAGATCTTGTCAACCAAGTCGGTAAAAGTAAACCAAAGATGGGAACTGGAGACATTGCTGAAGCTTCAAGTTCCGCTGAAGTTCTTTTTGAAGATCTGGATCCATACTTTGCTATTGATTTTGAAATTTAGATACAAGAACGTACTGAGCTAATTGTTTTATTTTTAATAAGATGACTAATGTTTAAACGTGGTTTAAAGAGATTTATTTTTTTACAATATTTTTTATTTTGTACATGAATAATTTTTGTTTTGGTTGTCATGTCATTAACCTACACTATATATAATTAATTTATATGAAATAGAGTCCGCTCTTTTTAAGGTTTTCTGAATTTATAGATTTAGATTTTCGGTATTCATTGTATACTATTTGGCAAGATTTTTCAGTTAGACCAACGATACCACGAAAATGTACCTAGGGACATCTAGCGGATTTTAAGAAAAAGAAAAATCCTGTTTCTGGCGGATTTTTTCTTTTAGTCTAGGGACTTTAAAATTTGTAGAACGGCAATCCTACATATATATTCGTAGACAGAGAATTTCTCTATCTACGTACATATTATATTCAATTATTCAGTATTCACAGTAATCTATGGGTTAGTCGGTGTATATAGTCAGTAATCTATGGTCGGTGTAGTTCACAGAACACCACGAGAACCACAGAATGTTGTACACTACAGAACACTATGTGTCACTAGTGTGTAGGTTTGTGCGAACCTGTGGTTTGTGCCGAGTTTACAATTTACATTAAAATACTGATATAAAAGGCTAAAAGATAAAAATGATTTACTTGTAATTTAAACATCTTAATTTTTTACGTGTAAATATGAAAATGTATAAATAATGTTCTATCAAATAGTATTTTTATTAACTGCTTTTAAATTGATTTTTATTTCATTATAGTTAGTATTACATTAAACAATGTCTTTACCTAAGAATTTATTATGTTCATGAAATATTTTACGCTTGCATCATTATTACTTGCAACAATATTGATGTTTTTAGCCATTCAACGGATTTCGAAGTACATCGGAATTGGTTAGCAATCACTCATAATCTTTCAACTGATCAGTGGTATTATGATACAACATCGGAATGGACATTAGATTATCCTCCGTTTTTCGCTTGGCTGGAATGTGGGCTTTCATACATAGCAAAGTATTTTGATCCTGAAATGGTAAAATTACAAAACATAAATTATGAGTCTGGGATGACAGTTGCATTTCAAAGGCTGTCTGTTATCTTTCTAGATTTTTTATACATTCTCAGTGCAAAAAGGTATGTAAATTATTTATGTGATTGGAAAATAAAAATCCGTTTATTACAGTCAAGATAATAAAAATTCATTCATTAGTCTGCTCTTGGAAAAATCATTCTTTATCTCTTTATGTCTAGAAAAGTTACACAAAACATTTAGTAACATAGGCTAGCGATAGATCAGCCATAAAAATATACATAAGGATTTTCATTTAAATAAGTCTTATTTGTTAAAATATATAAACTTTTTGTCCAATTGCTTCCCTGTAAGTAGCCACTACATGCCATAAACACCTGCAGGCAATACCAAAAAATAATGCTGCAGGTACATTGTGATCCCTCAGGAAATTAATCGAATGGCTTATAGCTAAATATTGCTTGTTTGAAGTTCCAGAAGAATGTTAAGCAGGCTTTGTGAAGTTGACTACATTTAATTTTTTTTTCTCTACATAATTTAAAAATCTATAAAAATGAGTTGGAATGTCTTCTTAATCTTAAGTCAGGTGATATAGCTTATGTTTTGATCACAGCTAGGACTGCCATCAGTGTTTCTATTAATATTTAGGGCAAAAAGATATGAAATTTTTGAAATACAAATTTATCATTAACATAGTAAACTTTATTGAAATAGTTTGATAGCCCTCTCCTAACCCCTTGTGTGGCGACCGGCCAGATAACCATCCATGGTCATACGCACGTCTGGCATGCGACCAGTTTCTGGCCGATCCGCGCCTGGCTATTTGGCGGGTAAAATTACCGGCGATAATGATTGCTATCACACTTTTACTTATATAAAATTATACACTAGAAAGAAAGAGGATGTGACGCAAAGCTACTAAAGTACTACAATGTTTAGAAAATACATTACATACTTTTTAGAAATGATACTTTGTCTATATTAAGAACTTGAACCATAATTTACGTTAAAATTATCACACGCCACTTAACTTGCTCCTTTCTCAAAATAAAAGTAACAATATATGCTATTTTTTGTGCGACGCTTGAGTTGCCTTTTATATGTTAATACTGTAAAAAACTTGGTGTAAAAAATATATAGGAATGTGTGGTTTTTTGCTTTTTTATTATAATTTAGTGTATATTGATAAAAATAAATAACATTTATTTTATAAATGAATGATTTTACTGTTTAATTTTCACAAATTATGTACTAAATACTAAAAAAAAATATGTTTTCTTACTTTGAAATCAGCTTAATAAAATCTGTCTGTCTAAGATAAGTACAGAATAATAGCAAATAATATAACAATTCAAATGACATAAGTTTTATATATAGCTCCAATACAATATTTTGGAGAAATTACTAATTTAATTGCCACGCGCCGATATCGTGGAAACTATCTGCTAATGCCTTAGCAGATGCGAAATATTTGCAAATGGCCGGCCGACCAACAAGGAGCTAAAGTAGGTTTAGATATGGTTTGACAACTTATTATAGCAAATTTACTATTTGCATTTGGTAGGACTGTACCCATAGGATGGTAAATGTTTAACCCATCCACAATATAGGGAGTTTTTTTCTACAGTGGTGCCCCCACAAAAGTGAAAACAAAGGTTGGGTTAACTGTTATAAAAATCAAAGTTTTAAATTCTTAGATTTTTCTCTCCAAGTGGATATCTATAACAGATATCAAAGAAAAATTGAGTATTTGTGTCTACACAAATATATTTATCAATATTTTTGTGTCTACACAAATATATTTATCAATAGTTTACTCAAAAGTGAGTAAACTGTGTTGTACGAGGCCCGGCGTAAGAGAATCCTCCATTTGGCCCCTTGGGTGTCATAAAAGGTGACTTAGAATTGCCAGGAAAAATGTATGGCCTCCAAAAGATGGCAGTATCACCATCTTATTTACATCAGAACTTAAATACCCAGACTTGCTCATGATGTCTTCCTTCACAGCATTTCAAATTTAAAATTGCTTGATTGCACCCAGGTTGCTCGGGTAAGTAAAATTTATGGCGAGAAAATTATCCCTGGAACTACCAGGGCGTAAATAGGAATTGGTAAGCCATTAAATAATAGGTCTTAAAACAATTATGAATCCTTATAGAATACTTTTAATGCTTAAACTTGGGTTTTTAATATATAAATTGTTTACTAATACTGTAACAATCAACACTTGTTGATTGTTACAGTATTAGTCACCTGGTTTTTTTTAAAATTATCTATATATATATTTTCAGTTGTTCTAATCTCGTAGGAAATGGAAAGCTATTGATGTTCATTTTATTGGTTGCAAACCCTGGCTTGTTGATGGTGGATCATATCCATTTCCAATATAATGGATTTTTGTCTGCATTTCTGTTGTTTTCTATTTCAAACATGATACAGGTAATTAGTTTAAAATATCTTTTACCTAAAAATATTTATGGTATTAATGAAATTACATTAAAATGGTGAATAAAGGAACTTTATCATATATTAATATTTAGATTACGACAAGCCAATTTCTGCAACTCCACATCTATAACATATTAATGTTATATAATACTTATGTCCATAATCATTTTTTAAAGTAAAGTGAGTGGATGCTGTGGCCCTTTTACCCTCTGTGTGTCCTTGATTAAGAATTGAAACTCTAAGGCAATGTCACCCTTGAGGACTAAGATGGAATGCCTCTTTTCCAGTAAAAAAGGTCTCAAGCTCTTTACACTCACCATACGAAACATAGATGAAGGCATGGCCCTTCCCTGATTGAGCCTACACATTCATGCTACAACTATATATCGGTAGCAATCGCTCTTCTACATAGACTTGACAGCCCCAAAAGCTGTTAAAAAAAATTCTCACACACTTGCACCAGTGCTTATTTGCGAACATGACATGCCCTCGAAATATTTCATTCATGTGCATCTTAAGACCTATCAACTATACAACATGTACAAACAATGCAGCACTTCACTATATAGTTAGTCAATCTAATAATGCCCAAGGGGTGACATCTAGTGTACCAACTGACAATCTGGCACCCACCCGAATTTTGACAAAATCGGTCCCTTTGGTCTCGTGTATAATATTGTATTCAACGTAGGACAGTTGGCTCTATCAAATATCTGAAAAACTTTAGAGCCTTGATTCCACCCAATCGCTTTTTCAATACGAAGTTATGTACACCTAGCCACATGCATTTGGAGATTTTCTGTTCAATTGCTTATATATTATCATATCTGTTGAAGATTGAATTTTCATTTCCCTCTAATGGTTGTGGAATTAAATCCTCATATGCACAATGCGGTTACCCGCAATGCGGTCAGCCATAAGACTGACATTACGTAAAGAATAAAAAACAAAGAGAAGTCCTTACTCCTCTTGTTTTTTGTTCATTATGTAATGTGTGTAAAATTAGTAAATGGCTGCAACTTCTTCCATGTCCGTTTTTGAAATGAATCGATGCAAATGCGGCTGTCCGCAATTCGGTTAGTCGCATTCGCAACCGCATCCTACAGTCAACTGGATGGCTAGCCGCATTGCGGTTACCCGTGTAGTGCGTATGAGCCTTAAGAATATGTCATGTGATTATGAGTCTAATCGGAGAGTTTGTTATTCATTCACTATATTGCAAATTTGTAGGTACAAATGGACTTTGTAATTTAAGCTGAAAGTTTTCGCGGCTTTGGATTAAAGCATGAGGGAGACAGAGCGTTGTCATAATGCAGTCAAACTTGTTTTTTGCTAAACCATTGGGGTTGGATGAGAAAGAGAGAGTATTTCCTTCTTCCAATGAAGTCAACCAGATGTTGATCCCTTGACTTCTGTTGCTCTATACCTAATTTTCCTATCTTCAGCTCACTATCATTTCTGTTGCCTAGTTTTGCGTTGAAGTCTCCCATTAACACTGTATAGTGGGTTTTGAAGGAATGCATGGTTCTAGAGATTTCCTTATACAAGTATGTTGGTGTAGCATGGTCTTCTGCCGCTCAGGGCTGCTTGAGTAAAAATAAAACCCGTTACTCCCTCTTCAAATTTTTGCAAGTGTCTTAAAAATATAAAATCCGTAAGTCTTTCTATCTATGTATATTATTTGATAATATAAACAATTTAATGTTATATTTTTTACTTACTTATACCCTTGTCAAGTAAATGCGTATATGCTTACTTTCTTTTCCAAAATGCTAGGATTTAAACCTGCCACCCTTGAGCTTCTAGCCCTCCTACGCGACTGTTCATACATTGCTTCCAACTTCTCTTTGGAATGTGCAAGGTTGGTGCGTTTCGACTATCAGAATTGGCAAATACTTATTGTGAATACGAGTATAAGCCTTGTTGAAACACTTCCGATCTTGACCACGTTGTTAATGAGAGCCATGTAGACGATAAATCCGACACTCTCTTTTCACAGATCAACTAGCATGCAAGTTATCCTTGTCTTTCCAGCTCCAGGATCTTCCCGTCAGTCCTCGGGGTTTTTCCGTTAAATGTTGCCAGGTCAAGCCATTGAAGGTGGCAATCTAACCCCTTGCCCCGCCGTTACCATGGTGGCCGGAGAATGGGGGTCGTTTTTGGTACTGTGTTGATGTAATGGATGTTTGCCATTGTTGTCAGGTTTGACAGCCAGGTTGGCACCTGCAGTTTTTATTTATTATGTTGTTATGAGTAAGATGCTGCTACCAATATTCTGGCCTTGTTTATCTCTGTCGCCTATTGCAGGAGTTGAGTGTCTCTATGTAACTTTTTATATATATGCTAAATATGAAATAATGTTATAAAATTATTATTTCAGGGAAAATATCTACAGGCAGCAATTTGGTTTGCAATACTGCTCAATTTGAAGCATATTTATTTGTATATAGCACCAGCCTATATAGTGTATTTATTGCGAGCATATTGTTTTACTGTTTCATCAACAGATGGGGTTCATACTGCTTGGTATTCATTTTCTATAAGAAATTTGACTAAGTTGGGCATTGCAGTTCTGTCAGTTTTTGCTCTTTCATTTGGGCCGTTTATTCAGCATCTACCTCAGGTAATATAAAAAAATATGTTATTTTTTAATATTTTTTTTATTTTGATTTTAGTACATTGAAGTGCATTTTGTTTCAGTTGTTATCAAGACTGTTTCCATTTAAGAGAGGACTGTGTCATGCTTATTGGGCACCAAATTTTTGGGCCTTGTATAACTTTGCAGATAAATTATTGCAAAACATTTGTAAGTATTAGAAAATTAAATAACCACTTAATTTTTCAATTAAAGTAAAACACAGAATGATATAATATATCATATTCACATCAATGTTAAATAATATATATTATATTAGGTTGAGTGGTGGGGTGGGGGTTTCCCAATTTTTTTTTTGTTGTGTTTTTTTTTTTTCGGGAAATTGAAACAGATCTCATATTTCACCACATCAGCATATTGGTTAATCTACTGAACACAAGATCAATATAATATTTTAGTGCTTGAAAAACATTCATAATTTATATAAGAAAATCAAATTGTGATCCGAAAGACATGTGGCGGTGCTATGCACGTGCGTAGTACGGCTTGCGTTACACACTGGCATATCGTTCGCACCGGCGTAACTTGTGTTTGCGCACACAGGATGCATTCCCAACCGGCAGTAAGGACGCACCGGCAACCAGACCAGTCTGAGCAGGGGGGTAATGTGGCGGTGCTGTCGTCATGCCAGAAGCAAAACGCACTGAAGTCTAAATCGCGCTATCAAAAGTTCCGAAGTACTGCGGGCATATATATAGAATAGCCCTAGGCAATCTCATGGAGCATTGGCCGCTCTCCGGCCGTTCACCTTGCCAAATTGCTTGCTTGAAATTACAACTTCAAGCCTTCGTCATTATCGTCAAAAACCCCTATTACCATTCACTGCAGTCTTCAGCTCCTGCAAGACAGTCCAACTTATAATTGAATATACATGCATCAACCTCTCGCAGAAATTTTAAACATTAGACATACGTTAGGAATGGAACTTGAAAATAACCTTAATTCCATATTACAAGCATGTATTGGCCCTATCGGTTTCCTTTCGCCCCTTCGTGAAACATTTGAAACAAATGAAACCCTTAGCGACAAATTAATGAAGACACTTCTAATGAGGACTTCGACATAATAAACTAACTATAATTCAAAAAAATTAAGAAGGTGCGGCGCTGAAGGCCGTGGGTTCGAAACCCATACAAATTTTTGTCCCGAGGCACGGAACAAGTATTTGTTGAAATAATTGTTCCGGGCCTGCATGTTTATAAACTACTTCCACGAGCTAGGAAAAAATCCTAGTGCGCCGTTTACGTTTTTATATATCGAATCTTTTGTTAAGCCTTTTTATGAGTAACACTCAATTATATTAAAAAATCAACCGTCTTTATTTATTGTTTAGCAACTTTGACCTATTTAAAATTTTTGGTCTTATCAGACAGTAAAGTTTAATATAGAACAATAAAATTACCGTGTAGTGCATAAGAGCCCTTATTGAGGACGTTCTTGAGTTTTTTACTAATTTGATGTTTATTTTATGAAATAGCCGCCATGGGGAGCGATACAGCCTCCCCATTGGAATGCAGGATCGTGACTGCTGGTTGTATTTCGCTACAATCAGTATTCCAAAGTTTCCATAATTCGAAAAAAAAAACGTGCTACATGAATATGATGCAAAATTAAATAAATTGGAAATAATCTACAATGCTTGAGCTTACATTGATTTACTAAATTGTGTTATGTGATTATTTTCTTGTATTTTGTCATTTAAAGTCACTTTCTTGTTTGTCTGTCATTCTGGGTTGTATTTAGTAATTGGTTTTAAACTAACTTCCCAAAGGGCTGGGAACTGGAAATTTTTAATATAGCTCAAATTCGGATGACAACGCAAGAGCATGATAAAAACATGTGGTATTTTCTTAATTAAAAAAAAAAACACTTTTTATATTTGCAGTGCCCAAATTTGGAATAGAAGTGACTGCAAGTGAAGCTTCCATGACCGGAGGGCTAGTACAAGAGTATAATCATGTTGTCCTTCCATCAATAATGCCGAGTGTAACATTCGTATTAACAGTTTTGTCAATGCTTCCCGCACTAGTTAAGTTATGGTATCTTGGAGCAGATGCAAGATATAGAAGTGTTAGTTTTGTAAGGTTTGTATTTGATAAATTTTTTATAGAATAAGGGTGACTAACGAGCACACAGTCCACTTGATGGTAAGTGGTTGCTGTGGCCCATAGACATCTACATCTATCCTCGATTACTAATCAAAATGCAGATGCGTTGTCAGCCGTGACGACTAAGATGGAATGTCTCTTTTCCGGTAAAAAGGATCTACGGTTCTCTACACTCACTGTACGAAACTCAACAGCATTAAAGCTGGTATTTTACGCGGGTATTCTGTGAGAGCGGGATTCTGCCCCGACCGAGCCGAACCATTTGTAATACAACTAAACAAATGCTACGCTACGTCTAAACAATATACTGGTTGATTTTTTTACCGTCTGGAAAAAAATAGGGTTGTAACAGGTGAACGGAATAGAAGAATATGGCACTGATATTTTACAATTTTCTGCTATTTTACATTAATATCATGATATTCATCTATCAATAAATACTACTCAGCCTAAATCAGCCTTATTTTGTTATTGTTGTTTTCTAGATGCTTGACCGTGTGTGCAACCTGTTCATTCATGTTTGGCTGGCATGTCCATGAAAAAGCTATTTTGATGATATTAATCCCATTAAGGTATAGTATATAGTGAAATTTTCATATAATCCTACATATCAGAGGCTCCTTTTCTGGACCGCCGCTACCTCAAAGAATAAAAAATTTCTAATCGCCCAGATTATTGTTATATTTATGAAATACTATACTAGAATTATTTTGTCCGTGCAATTTTGGTCATAAATCATCGGAGTATTTCTCTCTCTCCCACTCACGGGCCTTAGGGGCGAGCATAGTGATTAATGTTGCGCATTATTGTTGTCGATAAGCGTTATCGATAGTGTATTTAGTTTTGTCATTATGTGGGTTAGTGATAAAAATAAAAAATAAATTAGATAAAGCAATGTATTTCTTAAAATAAGAATAATAATGAATTATTAATTAGGTATAATAATATAAATGTGCTCTTATTATTGACATTGCTATACCTAATTCACATAACTTACAGACAACAATTAATGAAAAAATTTCCAAATACACTGAATTAAAACATGAAATTATTAGAATGTGGAATTTGCATAACGCCATTATAGTCCCTATAGTCCTCTCTACAACTGGTGTAATACCAAAAGCGCTTCATCAATCATTAAAAACTTTAGATTTACCAAAACTAACATATATTCAATTACAAAAAGCAGTTTTACTTAATACTTGTAGAATAGTTAGAAAATTTATCTCTACAGAAAACTACCCATAACCAAACAAGTTCATGGTATCCACTTGGCTTTGTCCCGTGGTAATAACCATTAATGCAGTTTTGTTAAAAACAAACTGAGAAAACGTAGAAAATATAAATAATAATAATAATAATAATAATAATAACGTTTATTTCTCACCACAAAACAAAGTTACATTTAGAGTTATAAGTAGCCTATAAGTAGTACAAAACAACTTTGCCCGTGGATCGCTGGTGCCTATGGTGGGTAAGATACCCGTATTACAGGTCACCAGGTCCCCACCTCTGCGAGGAATGCTATTATATCTAAAACATTAACACATAAAGTTTAACTCTATTTACTTATTTGTCATACCTAATTGAGATAATTGATTATGGTTAAGAAAACTTATAAAAGTGTGTGTGTGGGTGTGTGTGTGTGTGTGTGTGTGTGTGTGCGTGCGTGCGTGCGTGCGTGCGTGCGTCGTGCGTGCGTGCGTGCGTGCGTGCGTGCGTGTGTGTGTGTGTGTGTTTTACACGACAACCTCTAAAAGACTTTCTGATTTTGCATAGGTTTGCTTAAGGAGCCACTGGAGAATAATATTTTTGCACTCATATTGATTTCGGGAAAAAAAGGGATAAGGTTTTATGCAATTTATTATATAAATAGGGGCCAAGGAATATGAAGAATCTATGACTAAATGCAGTTTTAACTTGAGTACACTTTGCAACTAGTTGGTTACGTCGTGTCCATTCAGGGATATATTTGGTTGAGGCATGTTGTTTTAGAGCGGTGGTTAAAATGAATAATTGTCTAACTGTTAGTACTTGGCAATAGTCGTAAAGTTGGTCTGTAGGAAACATACGCGGTTTGAAACAACATACTTTTAAAACAGCTCTCTGTGCCCGTTCAAGTTGTATAAAATTACTTTTAGCCGCACCACCCCACGTGGATATGCAATAAGATAAAATAGATTGACACAATGCCATATAAACCATCTTCATGATTTCTGAATCTGCAGATTGACGTAATTGTTTAAAAATGTAAATAAGTTTACGGACTCTGTTTGACAGGTGTTCAATGTATGCTTTAAATGTGAGGTTATTATCAATTATAATTCCGAGATATTTTATAGATGTCACTTTTTTATATAGTGTAGGTCGTTATTGTCTGTGTACTATTTCTTATATCAAGGGGAGGCTTAACAACGATTTGTAATGAGTTTGTTGTTGAATTTTTTGTGTTTCGAATAGAAAAGTCTATTAATTTTGTTTTATCTATGTTCAACGTAAGTAAATGCGCGTTTAACCATTTATTTACAACGTCAAACCCTTTTTGAGCAAGGGAATATGTTTCAGTCCAAGTATTCGAATGAAACACAAGTGCTGTGTCATCTGCGTAGGAAAAGATCATCCCGTTTAAAAGATTGATGTTACACAAGTCATTTATATATACTAAAAACAAACTTGGGCCGAGAATACTTCCCTGCGGTACACTGTATGTTATTTGCAGGTCAGAACTACTATAAAGACCAATCCTAACACATTGAGTTCTATTACTTAAATACCTTTGGAATAAAGATAACTGAATTCCTCTTACTCCTAAAGATTGAAGTTTTGCAATTAGGATGGGTATCGAAACAGTATCAAACGCCTTTGTAAGGTCAAGAAACAAGGCAATACATTTTTGACGTATGTCTAGATTCCTGACTACAAAATCAATAAGGCTGTGGACAACATCAGATGTGCACAATTTTTTTCGAAAACCAAATTGATTTTTAGAGAGCAGTTTATTAGTCTCTAAATAATTAACAAGCCTTGTGTTAATTATTTTCTCGAGGATCTTCGACATCGTAGGCAAAACTGATATACATAGGTCTAGTTTTCGATACGATTTCGGTCGCCGGATTTAAAAATAGGGTGAACTATTGCCTTTTTAAACAAATCAGGGAAAATACCTGTCTGGAGACTCAAATTACAAATATATGTAAGAGGTGAAATAATAAAATTTTTGTGCTTCTTTAAGAATTCTGAAGAAATACCATCCCAACCAGCTGTTCGGTTATTATCCAAAGACATAATCAAACGTTCGACTTCACTCTCGTCAGTTTCAAGCAAAACAAAGGATTTGGAATAAGTAACGGATGCCGGTAATATTGTCGAGCCTCTTTCTAATTTATCTGCTAGTGATTTTCCTATATTTGAAAAATATGTGTTTATATCCTCAACAGATTTTTGAGTATTAATTTCGTTGATGTCTAGGAGATCAGACGCCGTTGATTGCTGTTTAGATAAATTTGTAACAGTTTGAATGACTTTCCACAGTTGTTTGGAGTTCTTGCCGGCTCTTTAAAATTCTAGCTTCTCATAATTACTTTTTGTATTTCGCAGGAGGTTGGTACAGAAGTTGCGATATCTTTTATAAGTAATTCTAAGAATCTGATTTGATGGGTCTTTTTTCGATTTTTTATATAATCTATCTCTGTTTCGCATGCATTTCAACAAAGCCAGAGTGATCCAAGGCTTAATAGGTCTACGTCTACAAGACAGAAATAAAGTTTTGGTATTGTTGGCTATAGCTGAAATAATAGGTTCGACCAAGAATTTAACAGCTAAGTTAGGGTCATTCGTTTTGTATACGAAGTTAAAGTTAATACAGCGTAATTCATGAATAAGCTTATCTTCATTTTTTTTATAAATTTACGATTACATAATTTCATTTTAATTTTTGAGAGGGCAAACATAACGGCAAAGTGGTCTGTTACAGTAGTTTCCAGAACTACGAGGGTGGATTGAAAAGTACTCGGCCTAACCAAGAAAATAAACACATACTAAATCAGTTATATTTTTATTTTTCTACATAATCACCATCAAGTTCAATACACTTTTGCCACCTCCCCTTCCAAGCATTTAGACCGTTGAAAAAAAATGATTCTTCCTTAGAGTCAAAATATGCGTCTACAGCTGCTTTGACCTCGTCGTTTGTCGAAAATCTTTGACCTCCCAAGTGCTTTTTTAGGTTAGGGAACAGAAAGAAGTCTGATGGTGCCAGATCAGGTGAATACGGCGGATGCGGTAACAGTTCAAAGCCACAGTTGTGAATTTCAGCCATTGACTGTACTGACGTGTGAACACGGGCGTTATCTTGATGAAACAGGACTTTTCTTTTGAGCATTCCTCGACGTTTTTCTTTTATTTCCTCTCGTAAACGACGTAGTAAGGTGCAGTAGTAATCAGAGTTTATAGTCTGACCCCTTTCAAGATAATCAATCATAATCACACCTTTCGAGTCCCAGAATACTGAAGCCATCACCTTATTTGCCGACAAAATCGACTTAGCCTTTTTAGGGGGTGTTGAACCAGGTCTTCTCCACTGTTTTGATTGTTGTTTTGTTTCCGGTGTACAGTAATGAACCCATGTTTCGTCCATAGTAACAAAACGATTCAAAAAATCATCTGCATCGGCTTCAAATGACTCCAAACAGTCGCGTGAAATAGTCAATAGCGTCCTTTTTTGTTCAACTGAAAGCAATCGCGGAACCCACCTCGCAGACACCTTGTGGAAACCCAACTCGTTGACAATGATGTTTTGAGTTTGTTCATAAGAGGTGCCTATAATCTCGGCTATCTCTCTAATTTTTAATCTGCGGTCTCCCATTATTAAATCAAGTACTTTTTTTAATATTTTCGTCAGTAGTTGACGTCGAAGGCCTTCCAGAGCGGGGTTCATCTTTCACACTCTCTCTACCACGCTTAAATTCTGCTATCCATTTTTTGACGAATGAATATGACAGAGCACAATCGCCTAATGTACTGACCATGTCATCATGGATGGCTTTTGATGATAGCCCCTTCTTATGGAGGTACTTAATGACGCTGCTCGATTTGCTCCATTCGCGGAAATTATGTCCGATTACTTTGTTAATAAATTTATAAAATCACAACTAATTATCGCACACGTTTCGAACTTCACACAATGAACTAGTCTGAACTGAACTAAATAATGTGGGTAGATTTGATTTTTAGAATTGAATGGATCTGTGTTAGGCCGAGTACTTTTCAATCCACCTAGGTAGAACCTTAGAGGAAAAAGCAGTTTTTAAATTAACGTGATCAAGACTGGTAGAACCATGAGTTGGGAAGTTGTGACCAGGAAGAAGTCCGTGATGAACAAGTAGATCAAGATAATCTAAAGTATTTGTAGAATGAAACCCGATAGCAATATCTATATTAATGTCTCCTACAAGAATAATGGTTCGGTATGATTTAAGATCCGTGAGGACAAGATCCAGAGACTGAAAGAATTTTGAAGGATCAACAAAAGCGTGTGGTCTATATATAGCAACAATAGCCACATCTACACCTA